ACAACTGTCAAGGTAGCTAAGCTTCAAAAGAAAGTCTGCTTTGGTTTCTGCAGTGACTACTCTTCTGTCATTAGTGTGTTATTTCTGAACTCCTTTCAGGTGCCAACTTTCTTTATGAACCCATGTAAAGGATAAATGAGTTGGTCAGGTTGTAGTAGCTGATGTTTTCAGGAAACTTGTGCTTTGATGACAGGTCTCAGGTCAGCCCAGAGCAGACACCCGGCCCAGGGCTGGAAGCCACTTGAGTAGGATGACATGGGGTGGGGGGCGCTATGGTCATGTCAAGGAATGCTGCCCTACATCTGGATTAGCGAGCTGCTTGTTTGCAATGGGTACTAGTCAGTGACATGTAAATTGCCCCATCATCTGGTTTTTCAGCCAGGACTAGTTTCTTAGACTCAGCCTCCTCAGAATACTTTCATAACTCAGCTACTTTTTCTAATAGTTTTATAGTTTTACTATGTTCATAGAATTTTGTAACCATCACCACAATCTAATTTTAAAACATTTTTATTACCCCCCTCCAAAAAAAAAAACCATGCCCTTTAGCTGTCACACCCTTCACCTACCCTTATCCTCCAGCACTTGGCAACCACTAGTCTGTCTGCCCCTATAGATTTGCCTATTCTGGACATTTCACATAAATGTAATCATATAATATGTAGTTATTGTGACAGGCTTCTTTCTTTTCAGCATAATGTTTTCAGTGTTCATCCATGTTGCAGCATGTATTATCAGAACTTCATTTCTCTTAATGGCTGAATAATATTCCATTATATTATATACCACATTTTGTCTGTTCGTCAGACACCTGGATTGTTTCCATTTTAGCTATTGTGAATTGTGCTGCTGTACATTTATGTACACGTTTTTGTGTAGGTGTATGTTTTCAGTTCTCTTGAGTAGATAGATACCTAGGAGTAGGAATTGCTAGGTCATATGGTAACCCTATGTTTAGCATTCTGAGGAACTGCCAAACTGTTTCCAAAGTGGCTGCACCATTTTACGTTCCCACTAGCAGTGGATGAGGGTTCCATTTTCTCTGCATTCTTGCCAACGCTTGTTATTATTTATCTTTTTTATTTTAGACAACCTGGTGGGTGTGAGATGCTATCTCATTGTGGTTTTGATTTGTATTTCCCTAATGACTAACAAGCATCTTTTTATATATATGCACATTGGATATCTTTCTTTTTTGAGATTCTGTTTTAAAGAATTCCTCAAACCTTTGTGAGGTTCTGACTGAGTCATTTTGTTGTTGTTGTGACTATTCTATTCTTCCTCTGCCATCCAAGAAGCTCAGTGTAAATGAAGCCTGGTCACTGTGAAAGGGACATTAAAAAGAGCAGCTGCTAGACAAAGCTGTACTGTGAGACCTAGCTAAGCGTTTGCCTTGTTATCTTTCTCATTGGGATGCTGACCTGTCATCATGTCTTGTGGTGTGTATGAGTTCACATCCATCATCAAGATCAATTTGGGCAGAAAAGAAGAGACATGTGGTTGAATGGAGGCCAAACTGAAATTTTGATTCTTAAGCATGTAAAATGTTAGCCAATTTACAATTCAAATTTTGATCTTATTATCAAGTATCTTTACCACCTTATACCTATAGAATTGAAGAGCAATTACATACATGAAATATAAGACCTCAAGGTAGAGCTCTGTGCCCTTAATTAAAAGTTCTTTGCTGAACCAGGTTAGGTGCTTCAGTACCATCCAACACCTAAAGTCAGCAGATGAGGATATTTAAAATGCTTTGACAGTTTTCACATGGAATACCCTTGTAACAGCACCAAACTATAGGGACACATTAGCCCCGTTGAAGGTAGTTTGCAGTGTGCTTTGGTGCTGACATCATCTGGCTGACTAAGTTCATTGCAGTTCTTAAGGATTGCCTTAATATTTGACTTAGGGTGTAATTGGAAGTAGTTGAGTTCCTAGGTCTGATAAATACCTGTACAGAACTGAAAAGGTTTCTTGAAATGAGACCTCACTAACTATTAAACTCTTAGTGTGCTGCAGTACCATTGTATTTTTTTTTACTCAAATTTAATTTCATTGTGGTAAAAGTGTATAACAAAACATTTGCCATTTTAACTATTTATAAATGTACAATTCAGGGATATTATATTCACCATGCTGTGCAGCCATCACCACTATCCATTATCAAATTCAACTAATTTGTTTTTTAGTTTTTTTTTAATTGTGGTAAATATATATGTAACAAAACATTTATTGTTTCAATGCTCTTCTCTTAAGTTTACTGACTAACATATTTATCATATTGTTCAACTGTTACCCTTATCCATGCCCAAAGTTTTCCATCTGTACTATTGTGTTTTGCTCTGCTTTAATTCCAGAGATTTACTTTGTAAGTGAATCCAATTGTATGAAATCTGCAAATCTACTTATTCAGGATAAGTCTGTATAGATCTGGATGAAATTTATTAGTGGGTATGCTTTCAGCTACAAGTAACCATTCCCATTTAAAAATAAAGAATAGGTGAATTTATTATCTTACGTTTCAAGAAGTTTGGAGGTTGCATGGTTCTAGGTTGGCTAATTTGGGGACACTCATGGGTCTAATTTCTTCCATCCTTCTGTGATACTATTCTCATATAACCGCTAACACTAAAAAAAAGAACCATCTCTTCTTCATGTGCCTCTTAGAAGCCAGCAGTCTTCCCTAGAAGCACCCAGGATACTTACACACACATTTAATTGACCAGAACTGGGTCACTCACCTCTAAACTAATAACTTGGAAGAGTAGACCAGGTTTCATGGAGGCAGGGTAGGTACCAGAAGAAAATTAGTGCCCTGCCGGCATGGAAAAAGAGGAAATTGGTTGTTGGGTAGGCATCTGACAGTGTCTCTGCAACCATAATTGGTGGCTGCTAAACCTCAAAATCTGTTATTTCTCTCTCTCTTTTTTAGGCTTCTAACTCATTTCATTAAGAAATTCAAGTATCTGTGTATGAAGTGCTCAGAATGGGCATTATGATATAGTCATTTTTTGGTTGGTATTTTCATTCATAACTGAAATTTATAGCACATGAGTCTTCATTAGATGCTTTTCCTGAATATTCTACTGTTTCACAAATCATATGTGATGGTGCATAGTGTCAGTACTAGGAGTAGAGTTGACTTCCTAGCAGTAATTGAGCAGTATGGAAATAGAAATAGGCCACAAAGACATTATAAAGAGAATAAAGCCCAGGATTAGGGATGATACCATAATTATAAGCAGACACAGAGACTGAGGGTTCATCACTGAACAAAGTCTGTAAATCAACGTACAGAATAGAAGATAGTACAGCAAGTGAGGTTTGAGGGTACACACTGTTCTTCAAGAAAAGCACTTCCATCTCAAGGTATTTAACTGAAAGAAGTTGAAAGGGTCCAGGGATCGGTTTCAGAGTTGAGTGTGTACTGACCTCAGGTCTTCCTCACCTGAGTTGGGGCCTGTATGCTCATTGCACTGATGAACACTAATAGATTTCCAAAGTATTCTCCAGCTTATCCTCTACTTGGTTCATCCGTTTGTAACAGGATTGTGTGTCCTTTCTTTGCAGCATGTGGATATGGAAAACTCTTACCTTTGTGGATACCTGAAAATTAAAGGCCTTACTGAGGTAAGTAATCATTCATATGGACTAGAAATAGTCACCTACTTAGCAATTTAGTTAAGGATAGGCAAGTTCAGCTTTTGGGAGACCTGATTAAAGCACTGTTTTCTTGGGTTTTTTGTTTGTTTGTTTTATTATGGTAAAATATATGTAACAAAGATTTTGCCATTTTAACCATTAAGTGTATAATTTGGTGAAATTAATTATATTCACTATGTTGTGCTACAGGGAGCTCTGGTAGCGTAGTGCCTAAGGCACTTGACTGCTAACCAGAAGGCTGGCGGTTCAAACCCACCAGCCACTCCTCGGAAGGAAGGTTGGGCAATCCTACTTCCGTAGTGATACTGCCTCGGAAACCCAAGGAGGGGTTGCTATGAGTCAGGACCAACTCGACGGCGTGTAACAACAACAACATGTTGTGCTACTATGATCACTAACCATTTCAGGAAGTTTTATGTCATCCCACACAGAAACTCTGTACCCATTAAGCAATAAATCTTCATCCTCTCTACACCAGCCCCTGGTAATCACTAATACACTTTTGTCTCTATGCATTTACATATTCTGGATGTTTGATATAAGTGGGATCATAATATTTGACGTTTTGCATCTGACTTATTTCTCTTAGCATAATGTTTTTAGGGTTCATACATGTCCTATCGTGTCAGAATTTCATTTCTCTTTATAAATAATGTTCTATTATATGTGTATACCACATTTTATTTACCCATTCATCTATTGATGGACATTTGGGTTCTTTCTGCCTTTAGAGTTCTATGAATAATGCTGCAGTGAACATTGATGTACATGTTTGAGTTTCTGCTTTCAATTTTGGGGGGAGTATATACCTAGGAGTGTAATTCTATGTTTAACTTTCTGAGGGATTTCTAAACTGTTTTCTGCAGTAGCTGCACCATTTTACATTCCCGCCAGCAGCACACAAGGGTTCCAATTTCTCCACTTCCTTACCAGCACTTGCTATTTTGTATTTTTCTGATAATAGCCATCCTAGTGGTATGAAGTGATGTTACATTGTGGTTTTGATTTGCATTTCCTTAATGGTTAATGAGGGAGCTATGGTAGTGTAGTGCCTAAGGCATTTGACTGTTAACCAGAAGGCTGGCAGTTCAAACCCACCAGCCACTCCCCGGAAAGAAGGTTGGGCAATCTACTTCTGTAGTGATACTGCCTTGGGAACCCAAGGAGGGGTCGCTATGAGTTGGTTGCATTTTGTAGTGACTAATGAAAGAGCTCTGGTGGTGTAGTGCCTAAGACATCTGACTGCTAACCAGAGGGCTGGCGGTTCAAACCCACCAGCCACTCCTCAGAAGGAAGATTGGGCAGTAGAGATGCTGCCTCGGAAACCCAAGGAGGAGTCGCAATGAGTTGGTACCAACTCGACAGCGGTGAGTTTGGTTTTTTGGGTTTAACGACTAATGAAGTTGGGCATTTTTTTCACATGCTCATTGCCGTTTATAGATCTTCTTTGGAGAAATGTCCATTGAAGTCCTTTGCTCATTTTTTGATTAGGATATTTGTCTTTTTTGTTATTGAGTTGGAGAAGTTCTTTATATATTCTGTATGTTAAACCCTTATCAGACAAACTCACTGCCATTGAGTCTTAACCGACTCATAATGACCCCTCCTTGGGTTTCCAAGGCAGTATCTCTATGGAAATAGATTGCCCAAGCTTCTTTCCAAGGAGTGACTGGTGGGTTTGAACCACCAGCCTTCTGGTTAGCAATTATTGCCTTAGGTACTACACCACCAGCGTTCCTTAACAGGCATGTAGTTCCCAAATATTTTCTCCCATTCTTTAGGATGCCCTTTCACTTTCTTGATAAAGTCTTTTGATGCATACACACAAAAAATAGTGTTGTATCTAAGAATCCATTCTCAAATCCAAGGTCTTCAGGCTTTACCACTGTGTTTTCTTCCAAGAGTTTTATGATTTAAGTTCTCATTTTTAGGTCATTAAGGTCATTTTTGGTATGAGGTAGGTGTCCAACTTTATTCTTTTGCATGTGGAAATCCAATTATCCCAGTACCATTTCTTGAAGAAATTATCCTTTTCCCATTGAATGGATATGGCACCCTTGTCAAAAATCAATTAACCATAGATGTGCAGGTTTATTTCTGGATTCTCAATTCCTCTCCATTAGTCTACATATCCATCCTAAAATAATACCATACTATTTTGATTATTACAACTTTGTAGTGTATTTTGAATTAGAGGAATATGAGTCCTACTTTGCTTTTCTTTTTCAAGATTGTTTTGGCTGTTCAGGGCCCCTTGTGATTCTATATGAATTTGAGATCAGCTTTTCTATTCCTATAAAAAAGTTTGGAGTTTTGATAGTGATTTTATTAAATCTGCATATCTCTTTGTGTAGTATTGACATTTTCACTGTATTAAGTCTTCCTATCCATGATCATGGGATGTTTTTCCATTTATTTGGTTCTTTTTTAATTCCTAATGTTTTCTAGTTTTCAGTGTAAAAGTCTCATTTCTCTGGTTAAATTTATTCCTCAATATTTTCTTCTTTTAGATGGTATAATAAATGGAATTGTTTTCTTAATTTCCTTTTCAGATTGTTCATTACTGGTGTATAGAAACACAGCTGATTTTTGTGTGTTGATCTTGGGCCCTGCAACTTTGCTTTGTTCATTTCATAGCTTTCTAGTAGCTTTCTTGTGAATTCTTTGGGATTTACTGTGTATAGGATTATGTCATTTGCAAATACAAGTAGTTTTACTTCGTCCTTCCTTTCTGATTTTGATACCTTTTATTTTTTTGCCTAACTGCTACAGCTAGAACTTCCAATACAATGTTGAATAGCAATGGTGAAAGTGGATATCCTTGTCTTACTCCTGATCTTAGGGGAAAAACTTTTACCTTTTAGTTTACTAAGTGTTTTTATCATGAAAGAGTGTTGGATTTTTTTCTAATGCCGTTTCTAAATTAATTGAGATGATTATGTGGTTCTTTTTCTTCATTCTATTAATGTGAGGTATTAACATCGATTGATTTTCTTGTATTGAACCATCTTTGCATGCCTAGGGTAAATCCCACTTGATTATGGTGTATAATCTCTTACTATGTTTTTGGATTTGGTTTGCTAGTATTTTGTTGAGGATCTTTTGCATCTATAATCATAAGGGATATTGCCCTGTGGTATTCTTCCCTTGTGGTATCTTTATCTGTTGGTATCAGGGTAATGCTGGCCTCATAGAATGAGGAAGTATCTCCTCTTTTCTATTTTTTGGAAGAGTTTGAGAAGAATTGGTGTTAATTCTTCTTTAAATGTTTGCTAGAAGGTAAAGCTGCCATATGACCTAGCAGTTTCACTCCTAACTATATATCCTAGGGATCTAGTAGAAGTGACACAAATAGATATATGCACACCTACGTTCTTTGCAGCACTATTCACAATAGTAAAAAGATGGAAACAGCCTAAGCGTTCAACAACAATGAGTAGATAAGTAAACTATGATATATACATGTAATGGAATACTACTCAATGATAAAGAAAAATGCATTCCCAAAATATCTTGGAATATGGATGAACCTAGAAAACATTAATTTGAGCAAAATAAGTCAATCACACATGCACACACAAAAAAAACTATATGGTCTCACTTTTATTAAAAACATGAACAAGTAAATATGTAGAAGCTAATGTTTAATTCTATGAGGCCAGCATTACCCTGATACCAACAGATAAAGTTACCACAAGGGAAGAATACCACAGGGCAATATCCCTTATGATTATAGATGCAAAATATCCTCAACAAAATAGTAGCAAACCAAATCCAAAACATAGTAAAAGATTATACACCATAATCAAGTGGGATTTACCCTAGGAATGCAAAGATGGTTCAATACAAGAAAATCAATCGATGTTAACCGTCTGTTGCTTTGTCCTACTGTGGTGACATGTAGACATGAGTTTTGAG